TGAAACTGAGCCAGAAGGGAAATTTCCTGCCCAAGGTCACAAAGCTACAATGACCTTCAAATCCAAGCCCTCTCTATCACCCGCTGCCACTAGCTGTGGAGGACCAAAGGTGAGCTCAGTAAAGCTCCCGATGAATTGTGAGGCCAACATAGTTGTCTATCATTTAGGAAAAGAATGCTGAGGTTGAGAGTATTAACCTATGGAAGGTAAAAAATGGTTAGAGCCGCCTACTAACTCAGTCTGCTCTTCCACAATGACAATCCTGAAACCACGTCCTCCTAGCTGCCCCCCCAACCTCTCTGCCCTTCTCTCCAGGACTCACATGAGATCAAAGTTCAACACTTGGCACCTGGCAGGGACTCAATTACTAGTTCCATCCTTCTCCCTACCTGCCTGACATCTGCTAGGGTTTCACTTCTCATCTGCTAATCTACCTTCTCCTAATCCAAAGAGGTACATTCTCCATGGTAACAAGGCTTCTGAAACTGTCATTGAGTGTAAAAACCATCTTCTTTATAAGCTGAGGCCAATGCCTCTAGGCTGCCTCAAAACAAAACAAAAACAAACAAACAAAAACAGCCAGAGTTTTCAACAAGTCCCAGCAGTAACAATATCAAGGCAACAGCTGACCAGGCCCCTACTCTTCATCAATATAATTAGGATTCTGGAGCCTTGTCAATAATGAGTGCCCATAAAATCTCTATCCTCTGCACCACACTAGAAACCAACCTTCCCTCCGTTCTCATGACCCCGTTCTCATGAGCCCACTTAACCATCTGAATGGTGCAGGAAATCCAAGTTTGAAATCTCCACGTTTGAAAGCGCACTCCTGTTCCGTTCTATCTGGAGGGGTTGTTTTAAAGGTATATTAGAGAAGAAATACAGGACTCCTCCCAAAGGCAGTAGGCCTGACTTCCCAGGTTGAGTCAACTCATTAAAACACCCAGAACCTGATTTATATACAGCAAGAGTCTCCAATCCTGCCCTAGCAGGTGCGGGGGAGGGGTACACACTTCCTGTCAAACCATTTGAATAAAGAAACAATATCTTCCTGCGAGGGTAAGTCGGTTTCCTGTAGTGCTCAAAACTGCTAAGAGTCCAAGCCAGCTGTACCAGTCACCTCGATTTTTACTTTTCTGTTGTAAACGTTGGTCCCAGCCGGGGAGCCGCTTTTATATTTGACACTGTATGGCGTTTCTTAGCCTCTGATAGCAGCTTTTCCCACGCTCCCTGCACAAGGCACTTAATGGGAGAGTCGCAAATCACTTGTTGAATAGGGCTCGGCCAATAAAGGCTCAAAGCCCGACGTGCTCAGAGGAATGTGGTGACAGGTGAGAAAAGGCGGCACGGCATCTCACCCCCTCCCCAACCCCCGCCCTCAGGTCCGTCTATCCCCAACATTCCACCCACCATTTTCACGCTGGGCTGCAATCGGGCCCAAAAAAGCCATAGACAGGCGCAGGAGGGCAGTGCCCGTGGCTGCTCAATGAACCCAAGGTGGCTCACCTCCGACCCTCCCGCGGATCAGCGCCCGGGAATGGCCCCGTTTCCTGCAAGGAGGGATGTAGGGATACCAAGGCCCATGCATGGCCACCCCGAAGGATGCGGAGCGCGACCGAGCGGAGGAGTGAACCAGCTCCAGGGCCGCGATGCTGAGGAAGGCTTGAGGCCAGCGACGACGGACCCGGGGAGCCCGGAACTGACAGAAGCCGGGCGGGGTGGGGAGCAGGGGCAAGGGCTGGGGCAAGAGGGTGAGAAGGCCGAGCCCGAGCGGCCGCGCCGGGAAGGATATTGCCGCAGGAGCCCGTCCACCTCGCCCGGGTCGGGGCCTGGCTCGCCCGCCGCCGCCGCCTCTTCCTGCTCGTCCACGAATTTGTTCTCGTCAAACTCGTCGATGTCCACCCTACGGAAGCGCGAGGACAGCGTGTTCCGGGCCATGGCGGGAGCTCGGCGGCCGCCCAGCCGGCTCGGCTCTACTCCGCTCCTCACCGGCTCCACTCGGGGGCGGGAAGCGGCTGCTCGGCACCTCCTCCCCTCCTCCGCGCACAGCCACCGCCCGCCCACTTCCGGGCCACGCCGGAACCGGAAGCCCCTGTGGGCGGGGCAGACTTCCTTACCGTGAGACGTTGGTGCGGTGGGGTCGGGCAGTACCTCTGTGTTTTGCGTCCTCGTCCCAGCCACTGCCATGGGGCGCCAGCGCCGCTCTCCGCTCCCGAGGATGAAACCCTTGAGCTGAGGGGTGAGTGGGCGTGAAGCGCAGTGCCCGAGCCTGACAACCTTGAATGCCAACTGTACTGACCCACAAGAGGATCCCTGTCCGGTTACATAAAAGTGTCTTTTGTTAAAGAAGTAAAGGGTTGGGGCTGGAGAGATGGTTCAGCAGTTAAGAGCACTGGCTGCTCTTCCAGAGGTCCTGAGTTCAATTCCCAGCAACCACATGGTGGCGCCTTCCTCTGGCCTACAGGCATACATGCAGCCAGAACACTGTATATACACATAATAAATAAATAAATCTTTTTTTTTTTTTTTTGGTTTTTCGAGACAGGGTTTCTCTGTGGCTTTGGAGCCTGTCCTGGAACTAGCTTTGTAGACCAGGCTGGTCTCGAACTCACAGAGATCCGCCTGCCTCTGCCTCCCGAGTGCTGGGATTAAAGGCGTGCGCCACCATCGCCAGGCAATGAATCTTTTTTTTAAGATTTATTTATTTATTATATATACAACATTCTGCCTCCATGTATGCCCACATGCCAGAGGAGGATGCCAGATCTCAGTACAGATGGTTGTGAGCTGCCGAGCTATCTCTCCAGTCCCTCCTCTAGAATATCTTGGTCAGAAGAAACTTAGTAGCAGATATTAGGTTTAATAGGGAAATGGCCTCTAATAATCGAGTGTACCTCGTGTTCATGATATGAAATCTGACAGCCGGGCAGTGGTGGCACACGCCTAAAGGCAGGCGGATCTCTGTGAGTTCGAGGCCAGCCTGGTCTACAAGAACTAGTTCCAGGACAGGCTCCAAAACCACACAGAAACACTGTCTCAAAAAACCAAAAAAAAAAAAAAAGGCCTGTACTGAAATCTGACACAGTGGTACGCTCTTGTGTACAAATCCTGCATTAGCAGGCTAGTGGTGGTGCACGCCTTCAATCCCAGCACTCAGAAGGCAGTGGTTGTTGAATCTCTGTAAATTCAAAGCCAGTCTGGATTACTTAGTGAATTTCAGGACAGCCAGGGCCTTCTTGAGGAGAGAAAAAAAAACTGTGGGGCCGGGCCGTGGTGGCGCACGCCTTTAATCCCAGCACTCAGGAGGCAGAGGCAGGCGGATCTCTGTGAGTTCGAGGCCAACCTGGTCTAGAAGAGCTAGTTCCAGGACAGGAACCAAAAGCTACGGAGAAACCTTGTCTTGAAACTCAAAATAAATAAATAAATAAATAAATCTGTTCATTTAGTGAAACAACGTCTCAAAACAGAAAAGACTTGCTGCTCTCACATCCAGGGATATCCGGTCACCTCTGCTGGCACTGCACGTACATGGTACTCATAAAATAATTTTTAAAACTGTCTTATATTACATCAGGAATGGCAAAGTGTTAAGGAGAAAATTACTCAGTACCTGTAAGTCTTTTAAAGGGAAGTGATTGTGTCTTTACTCAAGGGGACAGTCTTGGAAGTTGTAAGAGAGAATAGTGGCAAGTTCTAACTGAATTTTAAAAATGGACCTCTAGCAGCCGTATTTAAAAAAAAACATCTGGGTCAAGCCAGGTGGTGGTGGCATATTCCTTTAATCCCAGCACTGGGATGTAGCGCCCTGGATGTCCTGGAACTCAACTCTGTATACCAGGCTAGTCTTGGAACTCACAGAGATTCACCTGCATCTGCCTTCCAAGTGCTAGGATCAAAGGTGTGTGCCACCCCACCACTCCCCCGACGCAGACACCCCCGGCCATACAGTCATATTACAGATACCTAGCAGACCTAGTCTGTGTTGCTCTGATGTGGCCACATTAACCATGTTAATATCAATGATGCTTTCTACATATCAGGTCTGGGCTTGGCTTTACAGGTTGTCAGGTTAGCTCCACTAATCCTCAAAGACTGTCTCACAGGGAAGAGATCCGACCAAAGGTGGGAATGGAATTGCCAAGATATCAACGTGTAGCTTTTATTTTGGAGTTGTTTTTATTTATTCGTATTTCAGTGTTGGGGATTGAATCGAGCCTTGAGCCTGCCAGGCAAACTACCACAGAAGCAAACTCCCAGCCCTTGTTTGACAGGGTCTCTCAATACAACATCCCAGGCTGACCTCCAACACGCTAACTCCCTATCCTCCTTTGCACTGCCTGAGTGCTGGAATCACAGGGCTGTGACACAGGGCCCAGACCTAGAACAGTAACGGGAAATCCTTCTGTACTATTCCACACTGTCTTCACCAGTTCTTGCCGGAATTTGACTGCATTGTCAGTATCGAAATCTCCTTCCAGGTGGTGGTACACTTTCAATATAAATATGAATTGGCTAGATAATTCGGAACCGAGATCCACGTGGTTGAAGGAGAGAACCAAATTTCGCAGGTTGTTCGACAACCCCCCCCCCCCGCTCTCTCTCTCTCTCTCTCTCTCTCTCTCTCTCTCTCTCTCTCTCTCTCTCTCACACACACACACACACACACACACACACACACACACACACACGGCATAGTTCGACAAACCCACGGACATTCAGTGAGATCCTGTCTCAAACTTTCAAAGAATTAAGCCCACACCTCACGCCCTCCGTACCCACAGATCCACCCACGGGTGGCTCAGAGGGGACCAGGGCAGGGAACGGCAGGTTTCCCAAGTAAACGACTGAGTGACCGGCTGCAGCTATCGCTACGCTGCCCAAGGTTCAGTTTGCCCAGCAGCAGAGTTTAAAGAACAGCCGACGTAGGCGGGGCAGGATACTCAGGAAGGGGCGGGCACCTCCGGCACGACTGCGCACAGGCGGGGCGGGGCGGGCCTCCCACACCGCGACGCTATTGGCCGTGCTCGGCGCCACCCGGCAGTAGTTACGGAAGTCAGCCCCACTTCTTCCTCTTTCTCTCGGAGGCGGCCTCAGCGGTGTGCAACGCAGCCATGGTGAGGCCACGGGAATCTGGTGCCATCCGGGTGGGGGAACGTGTGGGGACAGCGGCGCGGGGCGCGGAGGGTAAGCGGGGGACGCAAGGAGCGTCCGAGGCCTGCGGTTTGGCTCTGTACGGCCGGCCCTGCTTCGGGCCTGTACAGACCGCGTACCCTACCCGCTCACGGTCCCTCGGTCGGCCGCGGTGAAAGCGGGAGCTTCCGCTCGGTGACCCACAGAGTCGCCTCTCGTACAGGCCAAGATTAAGGCTCGGGACCTGCGCGGCAAGAAGAAGGAGGAGCTGCTAAAACAACTGGACGATTTGAAAGTGGAGCTATCCCAGCTTCGCGTCGCCAAGGTGACAGGCGGCGCCGCGTCCAAGCTCTCCAAGATGTAAGTGACCCTTGAGGTCCCAGCTGGGTGCACACCATTCTCTGCCTTGGCCCCTTGCGCTTTTTCCCACCAATCGACCTTGGCCAATTTACGTAGTTTAAAGAACTGGGAATTCCGGAAGGCACATGGCAGTGCCACCCGCCTGAACCCAGGCATGGGTTGTAGGAGGACTGGAGGAACATGGTAAGGACCAAGGGGGCTTGCGAAGAGGACATGGGTTGGCTTTAATGGATGCCGCCAGTACTCCACCCCAGACAGTCTTGAGAGTGAGTAGAGAAAACATAAGGAAATTTACGTGCTGAGACCTCCAGCCTATGCCCTCAGACAAATTGCTTTCTGCCTGCTTCTGTGTTCTCTCCACACCTGTTGATTCCACGGTGTGCTTCCTTAAGCTAGAATAGCTACCATTTCATAGCATAGCCTCTGGTATAAGCTCTTGGCCTGAGTTAAAAGACCGTTTCTCGTTGTCTTAGCTGCATTAGTTTTCCATACACGTGTCCCTGGAGAGCCTGTTGACAAACTTGTCCTCACCTCCAGGACTTTGCCCACAAGGTGATATAGATGGGGACTTGGGGAGTACCAACATAAGTTGGCACTTGGAATTCATAGACATCTATTTTCACAGACGAGTTGTCCGCAAATCCATCGCCCGTGTTCTCACCGTCATTAACCAGACTCAAAAGGAAAACCTCAGGAAATTCTACAAGGTGAGCACTGGCCGGAGCTTTTGTGAAGAGGTTTGGGGGTACGTGGGAGGAAGGGTGACCTCCCAATTTTTGTGCCTGAGTTTAACCAGTTATCAGCTTCCCACACTGACATGAGTTCTGTTAGTGTCAAAAGGTAAGTGTTGAAAGTGGGCGTCCTGTGTGGGCCTTCTCAGCTATGCTGTGTTGTAGTCATTGGGTTATTTTGCCGCGGGTCAGAGCTGGAACCTGGCCTCTGGCTGTTCAGGTATTGTCTCTGTCACTGTTTCTGTCTCATCTGCCAAGCACTTGCTGGTAAACTGAGGGACCCATGCCCCTCTTCAACCTTAGTTCTGTCAGTGTAGAGGCAAAGCAAGGCTGCAGAGCCGTACAGATTAACTCCTGTAGCTGGGGCTGTTGTCTCCAGAAGAAACTGTTCTGGAGAGAGCCTCATCATTTTAAGATAATTCTCTTAATTGAAGCCATCTGGTAGAGCAAATTAGTATTGGGACTTGGCATATCAATCAGAAAGCTGTCGTGATGTCAGGAAATTTTGGTTTGGGCAGGTCTGGAATCTTCCTCAGTTTCTGAGGATCAGGCACTTGTCAGTCAGGGAACTGAACTTTGTTGAAACTTTTTGTGGTTCTTTTTCGTTTTTTTTTTTTTTTTAATATTATTTATTATGCATACAATATTCTGTCTGTGTGCAGGCCTGAAGAGGGCACCAGACCTCATTACAGATGGTTTTCAGCCACCATGTGGTTGCTGGGAATTGAACTCAGGACCTTTGGAAGAGCAGGAAATGCTCTTAACCGCTGAGCCATCTCTCCAGCCCTGTGGTTCTTTTTCGTGACTCCGGATACATGTGACATTTCATCACTTAGCGTATATGTGACTGAAGATGGCTTTTTATTCAGGTGGTGCTTGGTGGCTAAAACCCTGACGTTTCAAGTGTCAGGCAAGTAAGTAAACCAGCACTGAGCTACCCCCAGACCACAAAAAAGTTGGGGGTTGTGCTTTTTCTTTTTGAACAGGTCTCACTTTGTAGACCAGGGTAACCTGTGCCTCCCTGCTGGGTTGCAGGCACCATGCTGTGTGGGCACTCTTAGCCATGTAGTCGTTTGTTCATAAAGAACAATAGATAGGCGTGTTTAGTGGGTGCTGTGGGGATGTAACTCACTAGGCGAGTGGGTGAGCAACATGGATAAGGCCTACCCGAGGTGTCTTTGTGCCCTCACCCTATGCTATACATCTTTCTCCATCCACCTGCAGGAACTTTTTTGGTTTTTCGAAACAGGGTTTTCTCTGTGTAGCTGTAACTTGGTCTGGCCTCTAACACACAGAGATCTCCCAAGAGAAGGGATTAAAGGCGTGCACAGCACCCCGCCAAAGGGATTTCTTTAGATTTTATTATGTGTACAGTATTCTGCCTGTATGTATCCCTGCAGGCCAGAAGAGGGCACCAAATCTCACTGCAGATGCTTGTGAGCCACCATGTGGTTACGGAGAAATTGAAGTCTTAAGCACTGAGCCATCTCTCCAGCCCTCTTTTGTTTTTGAGGACGGGGTCTCTGTAGCCTTGGCTGTCCTGGAACTTGTTCTGTAGACCAGGCTGGCCATGAACTCAAGAGATCTGGCTGCCTCTGCCTCCTGAGTGCCGTCATCAGCAGTGTGGGCAACCACTGCTCAGCCTGACTACACATTTTTTGGAGGATTTATTTAATATTTATGTATATGATTGGTCTATCTGCATGACAGAAGTGGACATGGGGTCCCACTATAGGTGGTTGTGAGCCACCATGTGGTTGCTTGGTAATTGAACCCTGGACCTCTAGAAGAGCAGCCAGTGTGTGGTCTTAACTGCTGAGCCATCTCTTCAGCCCCATGATTTTTTTTTTGTTGTTGTTGTTTTTTGAGACAGAGTTTCTCTGTGTATATTAGGTTGGGCTAGAACTCAGATCGCCCTGCCTCCATCTCCCAGGTGCTGGGATTAAAAGCGTGCACCACCAGCACCTGGCTGATGACATATTCTTTTTTTTTTTTTTTTTTTCCGAGACAGAGTTTCTCCGTAGTTTTTGGTTCCTGTCCTGGAACTAGCTCTTGTAGACCAGGCTGGCCTCGAACTCATAGAGTTCCGCCTGCCTCTGCCTCCCAAGTGCTGGGATTAAAGGCGTGCGCCACCACAACCGGCTTTGATGACATATTCTTAAAGACTTGTGCGTGCCTTGCTCTCTGCTTTTCAGTTGACTGCTGGGGAGCTTGCTTTGGAAGCCGTTTTGTCCTGAAGTTCTTGGTGGGGCTTCTGCTCTTCTCCAAGTAGAAGCCTGACCTGTAGGACCTGTGTCCTGGGGGTGGGACTAATACTTTAGAACTCTTGGAAAAGCCTAGGAGATGAAGGTGACAGCTCCCTTAAAGGTTGTGTCTGGAGGCCCACCCAATTAATAGTAGTCATCACAACCCCAGTGTGTGTCTTGTGCCCTTTAGATTGTGGTTTTCACTTAGTTACTGGCAATTGATACATAGGAAAGTGAAATTTAGCCCTCTGGTCTTGGTGTACACGTAGTAGAAATCGTCCAGCCTATTGGCAGATCCCAGCTGAAAAGCTCTGCGTGCCGTTCAACTTGCTGTCCCGTCAGTCCTGCTTTACTGTAGCCCCTGGTACTCAGACTCACTCTCTGTCCCAGGGCAAGAAGTACAAGCCTCTGGACCTGCGACCCAAGAAAACTAGAGCCATGCGCCGGCGGCTCACCAAGCACGAGGAGAAGCTCAAGACAAAGAAGCAGCAGCGGAAGGAGAGGCTGTACCCGCTACGCAAGTATGCGGTCAAGGCCTAATGGAAGGGCAATAAAGTGCAAGACTGGCTAACTTTCTGCTTTTTGTTTCGTACCTGGAGTCAGTGGGGGTGGGGACCTGGTGACCTCTTAGCTACAGCGGATGACAGACAGGATGGGGTAATCCCTGCATGCAGCCAAGATCCTGGTGGCTGCTTTCTGTGGTAAGTTAGGCAGAAGAGGTTCTTGAGACTTGAGCAGTGGGCTTGTCATGTTGCCATATCAGCAGCCCCTGACACTAAGAGTTTGCCGTCAGGGGTGAAAACACAAGCATGGGCCACATCGAGCAGGCCCTGTGGGTAGCACAGCATCAGAGTCAGGGTTGGCGGGTCCTGCCAGTCTTTGCGCCGATCCTGGTCAGCACTGTACCTTACCTTTAGGGTCTCCAAGCATTCTCCTGTGTTGCAGTCCCAGACTTTGACCTGGATGTAAAAATAGGCAGACTTTGGAGTTGTCGGTGTGCTCCCAAATTCCAGGCATGGCCTGGGCTCTTCTGCGGGCAAGCTTTAAAGTGCCACCCGCATAGCCTTTAGCACAGATGTGAAAGGTTCATAGGTTAGCATTGTTGATGCCACCATTGTGGGGCAGCCCAGTCAGCGCCCTTGCTGTGCAGCTAGGCCTATGGGCATCATCTAGCATGGGAAGGCTAACGTTTGGAGAAGGGGTACCTTGGGTGGACTTACTGTGTGGGAGTAACCAGCACTGGCTAGCCTCAGCTCGTCGGGAGAAAAGGCTAGGCTCTTCACCCAGGTGACATGTCCCCTGAGCTGGAAAAGAAGGCTGCTGGTTGTGGGCTTCCAGATGCGGATGGTCTTGTCCCAGGAGCCAGATGCCTAAATAGACACCCCTGAGCTCAGTGAACCACACAGTGGCCTGCACCCTTCAGGGTCTGGGAGCAAATAGGGACCGGCCTGAAGCCCAGGTAGCCTGACTTACCAAGAGGCCAGATGCTGAGTAGCATAAGCAGCTGATGTTGCCAGTGTGGCCCTCCAACACCTGGTAGGAGACAGCTGGGGTTGCCACCCGTAGGTCCCAGATGTGCACAGTTGAGTCCCAGGAGCCAGTGGCCTGTGGGCAATGACCATGAGTATGAGCCAGCTCTTCACCACTCCTGTGGCCACTGACAAGGTGGGGGCCAGGATGAGGCTCACCAAAGCGTTTGCAGTGGGGGAGAAGTCACTGCTCTGCACAGAATCACGGTGCCCAGCCAAGAGGCGAACGTTGTGGCCAGACTGTAGAGAGAGTCTGAGCTACAGAGATGAAGGGCAGTCCAGGAGCCTGTGGTCCTTTACTAGGCAACCTTTGGGGCTACTGGCCTAAGTGAGCTTGCTGGGCCTTGCCACAAGAGGGAGGGGCAGTGCAGGCTAAGGACTGCCGTGCAGGGAGAAGCACTGGGGGTCATGGGCGCAGAAAGCACATACCTCTAACCCAGGCCCCATCTTCTCGTACCTGTACCTCCCAGAGAATGACCTGCCTGTCCCAGCCACCTGATGCCAGCTGCCTTGAGTCAGGGCTGAAGCTGACTGTCTCCACACTCCGCTGGTGACCTGCAGACACCAGCCCAAAGGTGGGGAAGAGGACGACATAGCCCACAAAGGAGCCTAAGCAAGTCTGCCCTTTTACCTCTCAGCACATGCAGACACTTGAATCTTGTCACATCCCACAGGCGAACAGTGTGGTCACAGGAGGTGCTGGCAACCAGGCGGCCATCAGGGGAGAAGCGGCAGAACTTGACTGGGCCTGAAGAGGCAGGGAACACTGGCATTGTCCTGCCCTCACAGTTGACATGTCATCTGGTTCTAGCCTCATGGCTTGACCTGAGCACAGCTGGAACACAGGATCATCAGATTCAGACCCCTCCTTCCTGTGACAGTGGCACTGCCCACCTAGGTTCTCTGGCTCGGTGGTAGTCACCCTGTCCCATCAATTCCCTCAGGCTTATCTATCCTGTGACCAAGAAAACAGTCCAAAAAAATTCACATGTACAGGTTGACAGGCAACCTGGAGGACATAGGCTTAAGGGAAAAAAGTCAGTAAACACTGATATATCCCATTGGGGGAGGAGGCTTCTAGAGAAGTCCCAACATCTGGGATGGAGGAGAATGGGGTGTAGTTCTGCCAAAGAAGGTTCTGGAGAATATGTACCATTGGCCTGCATATCTAGGGATTAGGAAATAAGATCTGACTGGGCTGTGGGGGCACACACCTTTAATCCCAGTACTCAGGAGGCAGGCCAGTACAGAGTACCAGGACAGCCAAAACAAATCGTTCCAAAAAAGCAAAACAAGATTTGAGCTCAGGTCTCAGAGTGAGTGGCTGGGCCCCCTGAGTGTTAGGTTTGGTGTCACCCAGTCCTGTTGCTCCAACCCTCTCCCCGGTGGCTAAGTCCCACCTCTGTGGCCTGCCATTCTCCACAGCAGCCGCCTGCTCCTGGTCTCCCATACATAAACACAGCCGTCATCTGCGGCTGTGAGCAGGGTCTGGCCATCAGGGGAGAAGGCAGAGCAGTTGACCTGGAAGTCAGAAACGGGGCAAAAGTGGTTCCATGCCTGTCAAATGTTATTTGTCCCCTCAGCTCTAACCTACCCAGGAACCCAGGGTGAGGGCATAAACTCCAGGTCCCAGTCCATAGCTAGGACCCTGTGAACCTAGGCTGGAATACAAATCCTAAAGCAAGTTCTAAATCAGGAAGTGAATTTCAACCTAGCCTGGTGACCTGAGCCTTTAATCCCAGCACTTGAGAGGCAGAGGCAAGCCTGGTTTACAAAGCAAGTTCCAGGGCAGAAACTGAAAAAAAAAAAAAAACAGAAGATTGACAAGCTGGCCATAGTGGTGCAGACCTTCAATCCCAGCACCAGGGAGTGCCAGCAGAAGAACTGGCTGAAGTCTGAGCTTGCATTTTGAGCAGCCTGATGCTGCCTCAAAAGCCAAAACAGATCCATGGAGAGTTTCTGGACAAACAGCTACATAGTGAAACCCTTAGACAGAAAAAGGCCGGGCGAACACGCTGGAGGCAGAGGCAGGTCTATATAATGAATTCCAGAAAGCCAGAGCCACATAACGAAACCCTGTCTCAAAAACCAAAAAGAGGCCGGGCGGTGGTGGCGCACGCCTTTAATCCCAGCACTCGGGAGGCAGAGGCAGGCGGATCTCTGTGAGTTCGAGACCAGCCTGGTCTACAAGAGCTAGTTCCAGGACAGGCTCCAAAACCACAGAGAAACCCTGTCTCGAAAAACCAAAAAAAAAAAAAAAAAAAAAAAAAAAAAAAAAACCAAAAAGAAAAGATAATCCTAGAGGCTATACTTGAGCTCTGGAGAGACCCCACCAAGCCTGGTCAGAGCCCCGGGGGCTCACCTCCCCGCGGTGTTGACCGAAGAATCTCACTCTGCTCACGGCCAGCTTTGTTGGGGCCTCGATGTTCATCGGCACCCGCCACAGGGACAGGCCCTCCTAAGCGGGCGCCAGTCCCGTTGGAGGGTCGGTACAAGGTGGAAGGGTAAAGGAAGCTGTGTACGAGCAGTCTCCATGGTAATGGGATGGAGTGCGCAGCCGCAGTCGGGGAGGTTTCCAGTAAGTCTCCGTGTAAGGCGGCTGTGATTGAGACCTTTTAGGTTACAGGAAGCTGCTGCAAGTAGGGCGGCAGGAGACACCAGTAACCTTGGGCCAAGAATTTGAGCAGAGTGACCTCTAGAGGGCGCGCCAGATACGCACCGGGACGCCAGCTGCAAAGGCCACACTGACTCCTTCAACTGGCTGAACAGGGTCCAATTTACCAGTGCTTAGTTGAGTCAAACACGGCAGAGGGCGGGGGACGGGTAGCGCTAGCACACGGTAGTATCCACGAAGAGCCAGACTTCCGTCCAGAAGTGGCTGACTGGCTCTGGGCCTAGGAACAGCATCCATCTCCACCCTCCAGGATGCAAGGAACAGGAGGGCCTGGGATTGGAGGTACAGGTGGGAGGTCCCAGGAGCTCTCAGGATCGCTTGACCTGAAACGTGCAAAGAACAAACCTTTACAGGCGTGGAAACTGACGGCTAAAGAAATGCAGATGAGGAGAGCTGGTTCTCTCCTCACCAGAACCCACTGAGGTCCTTATTTCTTGTACCTCTGGGAAACAGGCTCCCAGGGGGTTGAAATGGGCAAGTCACTCGGTTCCTTCATCAAAGAGCTGAGGCCAGAGACAAGGCTCCCAGCTCTCCTACCAGACGAAAATGAACAGGGATGGGTGTGAGGAGATCTCCCCTTGTGAATTTCAGACTGTGGGGTTGGGCAGGGCGGCAGCTTTGGGAGTGTCAAATTCAAGGGTTCCCAGCAGTGACTCATTCCCTTTCCCCCACAGCCCTTTGCCAGAATCTTCTCACGGGACCACTCTAGTCCCGCTCTATTTTAGGCTCTAGACAGTCAGGCGTGTAAGGGGGCGACAATGGCGGCTTTGAGCCGGGCCCACCCTCATCCTTGCTCCCAAAGGGCCCAAGTCACCGAGTTGGCTCCTCAGAGACCTATCTGTGCTGATTAAAAAGATTCTCCCCACCACATGACTCCCAAAGACAGTGCTCAGAAGTCAAAATCCCTGGCCTCTCCTATGCTCAGGCACCAACACCCTGCTCGCATGTCCCCTAGCCACCTGACTGCTACCCCTACCTTGGCCTGGTCACTACACCGCCTGCCTCTATCACCCTCCCTACCTATCCTACTTAGAGTTGGTGTGCAGTCGGGAAACACTGCAACCAAACGCCAGCTGGGTAGGAAAGGGAGTTTGAGGCTTTTTTGCTTGCTTGTTTTATTTTGTTTTTTTCAAGATAGGGTTTCTCTGTATATCTTTGGCTGTCCTGCTTCTGCTTCCTGGAGGCTGGGATTAAAGGTGTGCACCACCATGCCCAGCTAGGAAAGGGTTTTTAAGTGGCTTACACTTCCACATTGCAGTCCCATCATTGAAGACAGTCAGAACAGGAACTAAAACAGGGCAGGAGACTGGAGGCAGGAGCGGATGCAGAGGCCATGGAGAGGTGCTGCTTACTGACTTGCTCAACCTG